TGTGTCTGGATACCTTTTCGCATTTAGGCTATAGTTATGGTGTCGTATCAGCTTATATCACGTGATGTCAAGGATATCTACATCAGGTTTTAAGTTTTATTGTGACTAGTTATTTTGGGTATTGTTTATGACAGTATGAGTCTTTAATAGTAACCCATATCAGGTAATGTGTTACAAAGAAAAAAGGAGGTTGCGCCAGTGTGGTTTGCGACCGTTGTTTATGTTTAACGGCAGACTGCCTAGGTAGTGGGAGAGTTACCTCCCTTGGCTTGTGTCGTCTTCTCCTCACATGTTGTTTGGCCATTACTGAGAAGTAAAGCTACAAGTATATTGGAATACCTGTGTTGGGTTGTGAATTGCGAGGGTCCAAGCTGGCGCAGGGCGATTTTTGTTATCATACGCTTATTGACAAGCGCATTTCTAGCCGTAGATTGGTCGATAACACATTTCTACACATGTACAAATCATCTACATTCGATTAATGTCCCTTACTTACCGAAATATCGACAGTTAATTATCTCGAGCTTGGAAAATGTTACCAACCCCGAGCGGAAGTAAATTTCAAACGCGAGCGGAATCGAGCGAGCCACCTGATTGGCTGACCTACTTATGTCAAGTCAGCGTGAAAACAACAACACATGTGCAACCCACGCGGGTTGAAAATGAGTGAGTGAGTTAACATTTAACGTCACGCGTTCAAAATGATAGCTTTGACAGAAGCACAAGTGTTTGCATGGAATTTGATCAAAGATGGACGCAACACCCTAATAATTGGCCAGGCTGACACAGGAAAACGGTTCTCATCAAGGAAATTACGGAGAGATTGAGGAGAAATGGAAAACTGGTGTCTGTTACTGCTAGCACTGGTATGGCTTCTAAACAGCTTAAGGGGAGAACTCTTCCTGACTTGTATATAGGGGTTATCACGCGAGTGTGTTTTGGGATGGTAAATATCGTGCATTAGGAATAAACGTTGTATTTAGCGAGCTAAATTCATAGTTTTTACCTAATACAGGATATTTACCATATCACAAGCGTGATAACCTCTTTATCATATGTCATTCTTTAATTCTGTGCTTCGTAATCGCTTTACCTCTCTCACAAACAGCGAAACATTGTGAGTTTTCCTGGAATGTGCGCATTAATATTCATTACGTCACAGGGCAAGTGATGTGTCAGTCGTACAGTGACACTAGCCAATATTGTTCCAACTGAAATCTGTTTCTTATACAGTGGCGAAGCAACATATGCGCAAAACAACAATTGTTTTTAATTGCCTTTCGCGGCAATCCATCGGTCTGTCCGCAAGAGTAACTGTCTTTTGTCAAAGGGAAGCTACTCTAACCCTAGTCTGTGAGACGTCAGACGGTCAGACGTTGTTGACAGTCGGTCAGTCCTGTCATAATGTTAAGAAGTGTAGTCAGATGTACACACAGCAACAAAACGAAACGAAACGAGACCCGTGAAGGTCCGGGTTAGAAAATAGGTCTTCAGCAACCCATGCTTGTCGTAAAAGGCGACTAACAGGATCGGGTGGTCAGGCTTGCTGACTTGGTTGATGCATGTCATCAATCCCAATTGCGTGGATCGATGCTCATGATATTAATCACTGGATTGCCTGGTCCAGACTCGATTGTTTACAGAACGCCGTCATATAACTGGAATACTGCTCTAAAGTGTTTGAAATTTCCCCTTATGCCAATGACTTGTACCAAGATCCTGGCCAACATCCATTCACAAGTGACGTATGGACTGAAACAATAACACCAAAGCAAAGACCTACAGTTCTAACATGTTACTGTTGACTTTAAACAATTCAGAGTTAATACTTTCAAACAGTAAGCAGAGTATGCAATGGGTTCCTTCTCAAAATTTTGCTGAAGAACAATATTTTCTTTCTCATCTGATATTCTGTTAGGAGATATGCCCTGACAGTATCTAGTCATATTCAGTGTTAATGGATGTTGAGTCGTAGTGTATATACTGAATCCCAAAAGTGTCATTGAATACTGTACCACTGACGGAAAGATGTACATGCCCATCAATAGAACATCTCACTTGTAAACATATGATGTTCCCATTACAGGGTAATCCTGTCTGCCTTCCGACAGTTATACAGTCTTTAGTCCGAGCACTACAAAATGGTATTTTGGGTGAGTGAGTGAGTTATTTTTTAACGTCACATGGGCAATATTTCAGCCATATCATGACGAGAATTAATACATTAATAACATATAAGTATATATACTTTATAAAAAAAACTGTCATCAAAGGACAGTACAATATCTAGAATATCACAGAGTGTATTAAAACTAGTTGAGGAACAGATAAAAGCAGAAAGAATCAACAACACAATATACAAATGGGCTAGAGATCGTCAGTAACTAAAGGCAGATCACCATACCAGGGACCATGGGGACTTACAGTGCCTTTGCTTCCTGCATGGGCCCTGGCTGGATTTATATATATAATCCCTTCAGTCACTGGCGATAGGTTACCAGTTAAGCCTTAGATTAAAATGACAAAAATACTACGTTTTGAAAACCTGGTATGCATAACAATACATTGAATGATGTGGGACTTATATACCCTCTTAGGGGGACAATAATTTTACGCTACTTCAACCCCCCTCGAGGGTACAGCCACTAACAATCTAAGTTATATATTAGCACTACCAATATATAAAAACATATTATGTACATCAAAATTTATGTATTAAATCAATTTCCTTTAAAAAGTGCAATACTAAATGAGAATTACTTGACTAAAAAGGTCCTTGACTGTTTTGACACTATAATATTTATCCCTTGTGATGGAAAAAATCAATGCAGTCAAGCAGGACATGCTTGACTGTGATTCTTTCATCACAAGGGACACAAAACGGAGGATCCTCACCTTTTAATATATACTCATGTGTATATCTGCTGTGGCCAATACGACATCGTCGCATTATGACCTCTTCAAATCTGGACTGACAGCCCAAGTAGGTGTAACCGAAATTTGGTTTAATTTCATGTAATTTATTGATATCTACTTGGGTGTCCCACTTCTTTTGCATCAGAACACGGATGTAAGATCGAATGACAGGTTTAAAATCAGTGTAGGGGAGCAGAAGTGGTGTCACAGATTTGTTGAGTGCTGCCTTTGCAGCAGCATCAGTCATTGTGTTACCAATGATACCAACATGGCTTGGTAACCAACAAAAGACGATGTCATATTGGCCAGTAGCAAGATCAGTTGTTAATTCGAGAATCCGGATTAAAAGTGGATGTTTGGGTGACATATTTTTAATCGCCTGAAGGCATGAAAGTGAATCAGCAAAAATAATAAATTGTTTATGTTTAGATTGATGACTGATATATTTTAGTGCTGTGAAAATGGCATGTGCTTCTGCTGTAAATATGGAACTGTTATCGGGTAATCGTGAAGATATTGTTCTGGATCCAATGACAGTGGCACTAGCAACTGCGCCACCATCCTTGGATCCATCTGTAAATATAGATTTATAAGTATCGTAAGTGTTTCTTAGTTGAAGGTATTCTTGTTGGTAAATTAATTGGTTAGTATCTGATTTCTTTAGTTTTGTTAATGTCAGGTCTACTTCTGGCTTTACCATTTGCCAAGGAGGAGATGAGAAAAGTTTAGTAGGAGCTATATCTTGGAGTTTAATATCAGAAGCTGATATTGCAGATTTTATTCTGATTCCGAGTGGTGGAGTGAGAGTTGATTTCCTATTGTAAAGAAGTTCGTAGAGAGGATTGAAGATGCATTCAAAATCTGGATTGGACTGATTAGAATATAATTTAGTGATGTAGTGTAAAGATAATTTTAGTCGGCGTTGTTTAAGAGAAGGCTCATCTGCTTCTATATAGAGACTGTGAATGGGAGACGTTCTGAAGGCTCCAAGGCAAAGCCTCAGGGCTTGATGATGGATGGTATCAAGTTTTATTAAATTACTTTTGCAGGCTCCACCATAGACGATGGACCCAGCTAACAATTTCACGTTGTGACAACGTCGTGACAACGTTGTGTTTACGTTGTGGCAACGTTGCGGATGTTACGTCCATATAACGTTATTCTGTGGACTCCCATTTATGTTGTCACAACGTCATGGCCTAACGTTGTGTTACGTCATATTCACGTCGTCACAACGTTGTGATGACGTTGTATTTTACGTTGTGGGAACGTTGTGATAACGTTGTGTTTACGTTGTGGTAACGTTGCGGATGTTACGTCCATATAACGTTATTCTGTGGACTCCCATTTATGTTGTCACAACGTCATGGCCTTACGTTGTGTTACGTCATATTCACGTCGTCACAACGTTGTAATGACGTTGTATTTTACGTTGTGGGAACGTTGTATTTTTACGTTGTGGTTATATTGTATTTTACGTTGTGGCAATGTTATAATAATGCGTCCCTACAACGTTAGTCTGTGTACTACCATGGACGTTGTCACAAGGACGTGAAATAACTTTGTGTTACAAGGATGAAATACGGTTGTGACCATTCCACAATAAAATGTTGTAAAAACAACCCCAAAACTTGTTCCGGAAATGTTTTAGAATATGCTTTAGTCACGTGAATGTGTATGATTCGAAATACCTTTTACCAATATTTTAAAACCAGGGCGTCGAATAGCCCGGTTAACAGTGAGTTAACTCGTGTTTTGCTAACAATGTTCAAAATGTAAAAACACCCCTGAGCTGTTAACTAGATACATGATTTGACTATAACAAAGTCAGACACCATTACCCTTTAGGCTTGTACTGAAAAAAAGAATGGCAGACATTGTAAGGGGTTGACCATGTGATATTTTCAGGGGAGGGTCGGGTCCTGGAATATTATCGAAAAAATATACTGTCACCGAAAATTCTTGACAAAAATAATTACGGTTCAGACTGGTGAAAAAAAATGACATAGATCTAGATGCAAGGTGCTTATCTTCAGGCTCATAGAGTTAAAGAAAACCATATATCTGCTTTTGTAGCTGTGACCGAAAACATATGTAATCTCAATAGAAAAGTTCCAGGTCCCCACCTCCTTGAATATTAAATGGTCGGTCTCTAATCAAGTCCATATAGTATACTTCAACTTTCAGTCATGCGAAGTCACCATTCAACAAAGAACTCCAAGACACATTTGCGTTAACATTTTATTATTTTTAGATTATAGAAAATTTATACACTATTCGAAATTATTGAATGCCAGAATCTTCTTTCTTTGGTGTTCACTTCCACTTCCCTGAAATACAAACAGCTTAATAAATCTCGAGCAGGTATATGAAATATTTCATATGACGAGAAACATTCATTTGGAGATAAGGTTTTATCAATATTCAAACAATAATGTATAATTCAAGTGACTGATGGAAACAAATTTTAACTTTCATTCAGAGACATCAAGAATCAGGTTGAATACAAAACGTGGTACGAGCATAGATTTATATAAATAGATCTACATTCTTAGCATTCATTTCAAGCAAAAATACACACCAATTAACATGGATATAGACAATGGAATGTAACTGTAAACAATTGTACTTACGTTAACATAATTCACAGCCCAGGGTGTATTTGGTGTGTTCCTCAATGATTCAACATTCTTGATTTTATCTCCTGGAATGGTCGTGTAACATTTTCCCCCTTGCTGCAACGACAACATATTAAAAAAGTCAAAACTAAAACTATAGTCAATAAGCATACATTTAGATCTGTAGTCTAAACAAAAAGATAACATACATTGTATAATTGCCTAAAATTTAGGAAAACTGTAAATCTAAAGTCTTCATGTATAAGGTCCGATCGGAAATATACTCAGACTACAGATATAAGTAACAAAATTATGAGTACCATCGTAAAAAAAAACCCACCTAATGTAATTTGGTTTTTACATATACACCGGTCTGACAAACCGGTCAGGCAAACCAGTGATTATTATAGTGAGCCACGTCTCACAACCTCTGTCAGAGTACAATGACACACAATCATGTTAGTACAAACATGGTTTGTTGGGGACCTTTTCCAAACGGGAACAGATATATTAGACAGGCATTGTAGCTAATTACGACTCACATCTTCATCGCAGCGCTGTTTATATAGATCTAGCTACAGTACGATTTCGTAGCGAGCACTGGAACTTACTCGTTCAGTTTTCGATCACCATTTTATTCTCTCTCATTGCCAAAAGGTGTCAGAGAACCAAGTATCATATACTTACACTACGTTTATTAACATAATACAGTTCAATATCGTTAAATATAATTCTGTAGTATGGTAGCCTACCTGGCAACATACGGAGATCGAAAACCGAACGAATATGGTTGCTATCAATTCCATTGTATTTTTCATTGGTGCACATTGACTAGATGGACACCTATTTCACCTTAATAATCAACAAACGATGACTAAATCACTGACAATGTATGGTGATATTTAACTTTTGACTATCGACTCGCTTATCATCACCAGCGAGAACAATACCGCAAACACCCCGTTATTGCGCGCGACGAGACTCGTTTTACTATTGCTCGTTTTCATTAGAAGGGAGTCGGACATAGATCTAGTTATCGGAACATGATGAATTGATTCTTTTTTTTTTTGAAAAATTAAAAATACACATGATAAGCGCCTTGCTCAAATAAACTTTATAGACAGCACCAACAACCATATGATCGACATTTAGGCTACTTCAGTCAGTGCTGATTGTGCCTTTTCGGGAACAACAAGTATGTTTCTGTCTCTTCCCGAAAATACAATTTTTCATAACATCATTGAGCCCTTTAGACTAGGGCTATAACTAGCAGCCTACAGAGAGTCGATCTGAAAATACTTCCATTGTTTTGATTCCCTCTCTTCGCTGTATAAGAGAAATCTACTCAACCTTTCCCCATGGCCTGAATGAGCCACATTGTTTCACAAAAATCAAAGTCAGAATTTTAGTACATGTAAACTTTCAGATTTCAGAAATAACACGGAAGAAATGGCGATAACTGTCAGTGGTCAGTAGGTGATGCATACGTTAGGCCTATTTACAGACCTTATACGCTTACGATCGAAACCCGAACATAATATGACGACCACAAAACGCCGCCAGACTGAATTCTGGTCAAACATATACTGCTTGCCCTTGGTAATTACCCTTGGTATCCATAAAATAATAATATGGAAAAAAGTCATGGGCTTCCTTCACCTCTATATACATCACGTTCTGTGTATCAAATAGGCCTATTACTATCAACACTGACGCTCAGCCCAGTGAAAGTGACCGGCAAACTGCATTCTAAACCCCGCCACTACTGAATAATACGATACATTTAAATCATTTGACTATCTGCATGTACAGAAACATATCAACAAGCGGAGACTGCTTTTGAAAAATAACTTACCTTATCCGAATTCACAGATCATCTGTCCAGTTCCCGTTGCTGCACAATCACTTGGTTGTAATATATCAAGAGTGTGCTTGAACTAAGATGGCTGGTGACAACAAATCTTCCGCGACAATGTGACGTCATTTTGACGTCACTTCACGAGGCAACAGGCTAAACTTTTCAGCAGTCGCTCTCACGCCGCAAAAAATGCGCGCCAATGTGTTTTTATCTGTAATTTTGCTTGTGACAACATTTAGTAGACAGATAACAGCGTTCATAGATAAATATGTTTAAAAAAAAATAAAACTACGAGATGGTAGATCTACAAGTGGTTTCTTAAACATCATTTACAAAAAAGTGTTGTAATGTCCAAAGCATAACGTTATCACAACGTTAATTTGCAATGTTGTTGTTACGTTGTGGAATAACGTTACAATGTAACGTAATACTAACGTTGTAATAGAGGTACGCAATAACGTTCTGGAAATTTTAGTATTAAGAGATGAAAATTCAAATGCCGAATAAACAGAAAGGTAATGCATTACTGCCTTGGTATTCTGACAAATTCATGTTGATTTTTGATAAAGCAGTTCTATTCCTTTATGACTATCAAGAAGCAAACTTTATAACGTTTCACCGACGTTTCAGAAACGTAGTTACAAAACGTTGTGCGATGTCCGATGCACAACGTTTTCACAACGTGAACGTGCAACGTTGTTATAACGTTGTGAAAAAACGTTGCACGTTGACGTTATAATAACGTTGTGACAACGTTATTTCACGACGTTACCAATCCACAACCTTTCCACAACGTTGTGACAACGTCGTGTGTTAGCTGGGGAGCCATAATCAAGTTTTGAACGGATCAGTGACCTGTATAAGTGTAAGAGGGTTGTTGGTATTTTGGAATGTTATCTGATATTGCAGCAAATTCTATGTTTTGTGTCTGTTCAGATCTCAAATTGATGCCACGGTAAACCGTGATGGTTTTTTTGTCCAATCACCAGCTTTTCGGTGCCTGGTTGTGGTGATATTTGGAAAAGCACTTTTTACATATTTTTTTAAAACACTTTTGATCATGTTGATCTGTGATCACAATGTTACAAGAACTTTCCATAACATTCGATTATTTATGATAAAACTACAGAAGATTTATTGACTTATATCTAGATATGGAGCCATTTGTGCTATCCAGGGTTGGTCATTCAAGTTGATACGAAGTTTGACGGTCAATGGTGATTTTCTTCCCGTATGGTTTTCAAAAATCTTCTCTCGACACTCGGTTGTGTTTACATTGTCAGTCATTGTTCGAAACTGAAACACCGCCACCTTGCGGGCTATTTATAGTCAGGGTGGGGCTTTAACTACCGCGATAATATAGCGTACCATGCTGCAAATGATATTAAACAACGATAACATATGAGCAACTTACATGTTGAGGATGTCCGTGACACTGCCATCCATCGGTCCGCTGTCGATGGATGTGCTTCCCACCGCTTCCTTTGATCTCACCAAACAACAGTTGCTCTCGTTGACCAACTTCCTGGATTAGACAAACCTCCTCCGCTTCTGACCACCCCTTACCCCGCATTCTATGATCTGTTACAGATCGGTTGCTTTGTTGTTTTACGCCACACTCGGCAATATTGCAGCTACATGACAGCAGTTTGTAAATAATCGAGTATGGACCAGACAATCCAGTGATTAACATCATCAGCATCGATGATATGTTTAAAACCATGTCAGCTAGCCTGGCCGCCAGATCCCATTCGTCCCCTTTTACGGCAAGCATAGATCATAATTGTGAATAATACATGTCTTACTTGTGAAGAATATATGTATTCAACAAACCAAAATAGTCTTGGATATGTCTGTCTCCCAGACCATAGAGAATACATTATGTTTGTTAACTTGTTGTTTAACGCCGCACTCAGCAATATTCCAGCTATATGACGGCGGTCTGTAAAATAATCGAGTCTGGACCAGACTATCCATTGATTGACATCATAAGCATCGATCCACGCAATTGGGATCGATGGCCTGTATGAACCAAGTCAGCGAGCCTGACCACCCGATCCAGTTAGTCGCCAATGACGACAAGCATAGTCGCCTTTTACGGCAAGCATAGGTTGCTTAAAACCTATTCTATCCCGGAATCTTCACAGGTCAGAGAATACATTTATTGAGGAGACCCAATTTTTTTTAACTCACGTCTACAATTATTTGGAAAGTCTTGATTGCCTCAGCAAATGAAAGGAAATTAAGAGTATTTCGATAAGATTATATTTATTTTGTAGATATATATATTTAAATAACTACTATATTTCTATGACTAAATGTTAATATATCTTATTTAGTAATGTTGGTTTTGAAACCATTTACTGAAGATTAAACATCCACTAATCTAGACATTGACACAACACCTTGTTTTCCTCACCCTTGAATAAATTGCAAATATCCCGCATGATTTTCCATTGATCTTCAGACCCGTGAAGATTCCGGGGTAGAATAGGTCTTCAGCAACCCATTCTTGCAGTAAAAGGCGACTATGCTTGTCGTAAAACGTAAAAGACGACTTACGGGATCGGGTGGTCAGGCTCGCTGACTTGGTTGATACATGTCATCGATCCCAATTGCGTGGATCGATGCTCATGATATCAGTCACTGGATTGTCTGGTCCAGACTCGTTTATTTACAGACCGCCGTCATATAGCTGGAATATTGCTGAGTGCAGCGTTAAAACAACAAACAAACAAACAAACCAACCAAACTTTGATCTTAAACAACTTCAAAATGCAAAAAAATGACACAACACACACTTTTCTTCAATCTTTACTAATAACTGTGAAATTCTTGCACCATAGGTCAAAATCTCCCTAGTTGAAGATCGGCTTGTTGTAGAGTTGTGATTGTTGTTTAAGGCCAGATTCAACTATATTTCAGTTCTGTGATAGCAGTCTGTAAATAATCGATAATGGACCAGACAATCCAATGATCGGTCACAGAACGGAGTGGAAGTCCAGTGTTAAATAATACATTTGTAGTTTAGGTTCCAAGTTATACAGGGGCAGATATAAATCCAATATATATCCAATAACTTTTTAGTCTTAACCACATATTGGCATATTTTATTTGCAGCTTTAAAGTGTGTTTGTTTGTTATTTTGTATTATAAAATGTGAGAATTGAATTCAACTGTAACCATCGATACGGAAATTTGCAAACATTGGCAGAGCTTTTTCTAATGGCGAAGCTGGGATTTTATCCAAAAAATAAATTGTCATATGTTCCAATGTATTTTCTTTGACAAAAAAAACACATGCTTAGTTTTAAAAATATACACCAGTGGCTGTAAAAAATATCTGTTTGTTGTTTAACGCCTCACTCAGCAATATTCCAGCTATATTTTGGCGGTCTGTAAATAATCGAGTCTGGACCAGACAATCCAGTGATTGACATCATAGTGAGTGAGTTGTGTTTAACGCCGCTTTTAACAGTATTCCAGTTACATCACGGCGTGTCAGCTTAACCCTCATGGTGCCTGGACGTTAGTCAGCCTGCAAACCGCACTGTGCTGACGTCGCGGTTACAAAAACGTATACATTGTATCAAAAGTGTTGCAACGTCTTTATTTCTTTACACAGTGTAACCAAATTGTATAACATGCAATTCGAGTTGATTGTCTTTCCAACAGTATCTAAAGTCACCAAATCCAAAAGATCTATGCACTGCCCAGCCATCGATACAAGTGCTGGTATTATAAGTTTCCTACTTTTCCACATTAATCGTAATATGGACGCACCCGAATATGGCAAACAAAGTCAAGCAAGCGCCCTTGTTTGAAATGTAAATGACCAATAATTCATATCATTGGCAAGTACATGTCCTAACAGTGATAGACATATGATATTTATGTTGAAGTACACCTTCACTGAGAATTTTCCTTGAGTTATATTTACCGATAAAAAATCCCGATTAAATTGTGCGTGTTTTTGACGTCAAAACAAAACTGACGGAAGTGGTCGTGATTAATTCATACGCAGACTGTTTCAAAGATTATGTCACAAAACGAATGACAGTTTGGAATGTATATCTTGAAGAAATCCCGGTTACATCCATGTATGTTTCAATGACCGTGCTCTTGTATTAGTGATAAAAACAAGTTCGGGGTAATTGACATCGTACATTTTCAAAGGACAAAATGTGAAAGATCGCTAAACAGCCCTAACAATACTCAAATTGACATCGCTCAATATCGGGCATCATTGTTATTTCTTTATAATTAACAAGATTATACTAACGTAATACCACCCAAGAGTAAGTACATGTAGATTCAATCAAAATTGTTGAAACGTTTTCATGGGCAGCAAATCTATTCAACAAACCTATTTTCGATCACTCGCAACTCGTGCGCAGTATGTCATTGTTTCACTATGACCACCAGAAAACACATCCTCGTACCTTGGCTGCCTAACTTAGACCTTTGCTCAAAATAAACTTGTATGGCCAGTCCATGAAATAACACGTTTTCTTTCATTTATTCATTTGATTTATAAATACGACTTTAGAAGTGTATTTACACCTAGCTAGGTATGTACATGTACATTTAAGGACATACGTGATAGTTTATTTCCACTAGTTTCCCATTCCATCCCATTCTACTAAAGGAATAGTTTGAAATAGATAATTATCGTAGGTCAATGAAAGTAATGGAATTATTTGTCATAAAAGGAAAAATATATTCTTGGTACTGTGCTTCGAAAATTTAAGCAGCAAAATCTTTAATAAAAATGGTTTATTATGTCTTTCCTTTTTTTTCTTAATTTTGGCCTAGCTAAACTAGCTTGGAGGGAAGATATACAAATTAAAATGGTAAAAAAAATATTAGAATGCATTGATCGATTTTGCTCCTAGACAAATATTTATTTAAAAAAAAATCTATTTCATACCTAGGATACAAAAAACAGTAGAATCTAATTACTACTATGTCACTGGTCGAAGTATTTGGTAATTTAGATAATGCAGATTGAAAAAAAAAGACATATAAAACATCAAAACGAAATCACATTTACACTGAAACTTCTTGTCTTTCAGAAATTGATTATCTAGATTATATATTATGAGTAGATATAATTACTTTTACTGTGTATGTAATAAATTGAACCATTCGAGATTCCAATAGATGAAGCTGAAATATTAAAAATCCAGGTTGTTTAAATATTGGATCCATTTTGACAGCTTTCTCATTGTACTCAATTGAATGCACATTATTTTTTTGAAATATCAAGCCTTCAAACAG